CCGCCCCGCCGGTGCCCTCCTCCTGCGGCGCTTTCTGTTGAGTATTGGGTTTTGCACCCCAGACTTGGGGGGGACCCCCGAGGCCTTGCTCCGTTGGACTCCACTCCGGCACACCTCTTCCGGCCATAGGGCCACAAGTAAGGGCCATGTTCTCTAGGTAGAGGCCCCCTCCTAACTGGGGACCCCTGAGGAAGCCCAGGGGCCAAGGGGGTGGTCAGAGTGCCGGGTGGTGGGGTGCAGACTTAAAGGTTCCTTTAAAGCTCTTCCCTTCCCGCCGCCTGAATGTTGGGAGGGCAGCGTGAGACAGTATGGGTTGACACTGACCTAGCAGTCTGGTGGTTCCACCTGCATGATCACTTGGAGTTTTGCATCCTCTAGGAAAGAATAAACAAAATTTCCAAGAAATTAGAGCATGTATAATCAAAAGCATGAACATTAGAATGGAAAGGCCGGTTGGGGGAAGAGCCACATCCAGAAATTGCTCTTAAGGGACTAGGATAGCAGTTGTAACCAGTGGCCTCCTCGACCCCTCTACTGGTGGTAAGTCTGATATTTCTTGCCATAAGTCACTCTAGTTTTAGCCGTGTAATGATAGAGAATTTGATGTTTTGAAGGACAAATTTAGCCAAAGAATTTAAAAACTTGTTGAGCTTTTACAGCTTCCACCATAGTTTTTTAGTCTCACTAAACCCTAACAGTGGTCGGCTACAGGTGCAGCTGGAGATTTCCAGAAGGGGGTCGGGAATTGGAGCCCCCTTTTAAACCTAGCTTTCATTACTATGGTGTTGTTTTCATACATCTTTTGGTTATACTTTTCTACTGGGTGTTTAAGACCAATTTAAAGTTGGACCTCTGTTAATCAAAATTAACCTCTTGCTGTCTATCAAGGTCAGTTAAGTCTTCTCAGGTATTTCTTTTGGAACCATGCACAGAGCCTCTCAGCTCCTCTGTTACTGCCAGGTTGCCAGGCCAACTGCCAGGTTGGGTCACTGTCTTGCTTGACCATGTTGCTTTCTGTGAAAGCATGGGAGACTTTTCCCTCTCTAGTAACCTTCTTTTGGCGTACTACATTCATTGATTCCTGTCCTCTGAGGCTTTGCTGAGGAGTTTGGGTGACTCAAAATTGAAGGATCCTGTAGAAAAGATTCCCTATGTCTTGGGTCCTCATAGACCTTGAAGAGCCAGGGCCAAAATATTAGCTGTCCTCATAGCCCAGTTACTGTTCTAGTTCTGGCCTCCAAACTTTAGTTGAACACCCAGAAGATCAGTTACATCAGTATTGCAGTGGGAGCAGTGAGCTTAACTATTATAATCTCATCTGGATAATCAAGTACTTTGAAATAAAAAGTATAGCCAGAGGACTCTTGCTTCTTACCAATTATGTTTTTTTTTTTTTCTCTTAGTACTAGGCAAACTCGGGACCCTGTGCTTGTGAGACAGGCACAGTACCACTGAGCTAAGTCCCCAGCCCACTTCTTACCAATTACTGTTGTTTTAGAAGTCTAATCCCTGTACAAGGTTAACAGACAACATTTTTTTGGTACTGATTATCAGACTCACCCAGGACCTTGAACTTGTGAGGCAGGTACAGTGCCACTGAGCTAAGTCCCTGGCCCAACAGACAAACTTATAAAGTTTTACGGCAAAAACTTGAGATCAAGAGCCGGTCATGACATTTCAGCATGATAGTCATGATATTATCTTTGAAACACATTTAAATTTCTTAGTATAGAATAGCTTTTTAGTCATCACCATTTGAATACAAAGAAGCGCTCACCTAATTTGTTATCCTTTAATAGTATATCATCAAGGAAGTATGTGACATTGTGCCTGAACATCTCTAAGTGTAGTGACACATATATAACATATACCTCATATAAGCTTTAAAAAAAATACAACTGTCAGGCTAGGGATTTAGCTCAGGGGTACTGCCACCTGCCTTACAGGTGCAAGGTCCTGAGTTCGTTCCCCATTTCCAAAACCAAAAAACCAAAAAAACCCCAAACAACTATCATTTGACTGGTGGTCTCATGCTGATTAGACATGTACCTCATCACAAGTAGCTACATCATAAGAGAAAGGCAGATATCTGAGTCTAAATGAAAAAAAGCTTACTGTCATAAGCAACCCTTACATCTTTGAAAACCTGTACACCTAGAAGGCATGAATACATTTAGCACACCATGAAATTAGCAATAATGAGTGTCACAGCTATATGGACACTTTGGCCCTTAATTTACTTTTGTACCAAGAACATCTATAAGAAAACATTAGTTTTACTCATAAAGAACTTAGCCCTTTAATGATAACGAATATAAACATATTACATTAACATATTTACCAATGTTCATTGGCGTGTGTCTCCCAGAAGACTATGGAAATTATTGGGGGTCCCATTAGTGAATAAAAACTGGAATAAAATGTTTCCAGGCAGCTTCTCCTTTATTCACCAAGGGAAGTCTTATCTAGCAATTTCTTAAAGTCTAAGGGATCCCCATTTAGTTATTTTAATAAATTTTTCAGTTGACCTATGAGAACTACATTATTTTAACCCATGAAAGACTTTCAAGTTGGTATATACAGATGACAATAGGCATTGCATTTGTAAAACCAGTTCAACATCATTTTGATTGGCTGGCAACCTGGGTGAAAGCATGTCCTTAACTTTAATGACACTTATGTTGTCTATAAACCAACTTAAATTGTAGACACAAATATTTTAATTTGTATAAACTGTTTTCCATGGAAATCTCAAAAAAGCAAAGAGAAAAAAATTGTCAAGTTCAAACAGAACAACACTGGGTATTGTAACTGATTATAGAATGAACAGACATCTGGACAAGCACACACAGCACAATTGCTTATAAACCAGAGTGCACTCATATGTATTCAGCCAAGTTAAATTACAATAGTCCTTTTACAGTTTCTAGGTTTTTAACTATAACTAGACTAGTCAGAACTTTTTATAAGTCAATTAACAAAGATCTCTTGTAATAAGAATCACAAGGAATTAAAAACCTTTTTTACACCCGAGAAAGCAAAGTTTTTTAAAGCTGGGTCTTAGCCTGACAGCTTTATCCAATTGGAGTACTCAACTATACAGGAATCTCATTGTTGCTTTGATAGCCACAGATGTTTGGTAGCCACAGCTGGTAGCCAAAACTGCTGTTTTGATAGCCACACGTAACTTTTCCCTCTAGAGGGGCAGACCGTTAAAGGTAATTAGAACTATTTCTAGGGGAGGTGCATGGGCCAGGTTTGGTTGTGGAAAGAGCAAGGCCTGCCAGGTGTCCAATATGCCCTACTGCAGATGTTTATCTATGACAGTTTTTCCCATTTTGAAAAGAAACGAGGGCTGGGTATTTAGTTCAGCGGTGCCACTGCCTGCCTCACAGACACAAGGTCCCTAGTTTGATCCCCAGTTAAAAAAAAAAAAAAAAGGGGAAAGAAGGTGTCCCTGGCTATCCCTTTTGCTTTGTGCCCAATCTAATGTGTACACTAGATTTAACCCCATTCAGTACCAGCAGTGGGGAACCAGAAGTTCAAGGAAATGTCCAGACCCAGGTTAGTCACGCTTATCATGCACCTGGGCCTCCTTTCTTGTGCTCCTGTGACCCTTGGGCTGTACTTAGCTACAGGCTTTCCTCTTTGAGAACCTCAGTTAATATATCTCTGAGAATGGTGGCTGGCCTGGCAAGATGTTCTGGAGAAATCATGACAAGAGAGAGGCATTCCTCTGGGGACTAAGGCTATGGTTATCTCTTAACACCTGCTTCCATCTGCTGTTAAAGAGTCTGTTGGAATTTTGTCACTGAGGTGACATCTTATAACAAGGCATCTGTTTCTCTGTTGAAGAGAAAATTATTAGTGAACAGTATATCACCTACATATTGCAGGACTGTGACTTGGGAAAATTTTAAACAGACCAAGTCATGAGACAGTAGTAGTCCAAATTGATGAAGACTGTCTCTTAATGCAAAGAAAGTCTGAAATAAAGCAATCCTGACAATTTCCCTCTCTCTTGCAGTACAACAACTCTAGTTGCAAAATAATATAATCAATACTTATCTCTGCATTTTACTTCATTTCTAGGGGATAGGCAGGCCATGTGTGGGTACAGAAAAATATTAAGCTTGTCTTCTCAATTTATGAAGGTTGAACAAATTCCAGTACTTAAGAATACATTCCAAAGGAGTAAGAGAATTTGACATTGAGTTTCCCCAAAGCAAGGGGAAAATAGGCATTCCTTTTCATCTCTACTTGGTTTTTACATGCCCTCATGGTGTCATGAGGTGGCCTCCAGAGGAGGTGGCTGCTATCTGGAGAGTGACTACATCTGCTGGCCTGGATGACCCACCTTTACCAACACATGCCTTCTGTGGAAACTCAAATTCCTAACTCCAAAGTGTGTTTCCCAAAGCACAAGCTACAACTGATTCCTGCTATAATGGCTGTTTTTAAAGAAGGAAGCATTGCTACCAAAATTGCACCAAAGATTGCTTGGGATTTAGCTTAGTGGTGCCACCACATGCCTCACAAGTGGAAGGTCCCAAGTTTGATTCCTGGTACCAAAACCAAACCAAAACAAAAATTACACCAGTGATCTAGAGGCCTGAACAACTGCTTTCCGATTTTTGAAAGAGAGTGAGAGGAAAAAAAAGGGCAGATTGTAAGTGGCTGGGGCACTTCCCAGCTTGCAGAAGGGGTCAGTCACTCTAGAGGTAGAGGCGAGTAATGGCTCAGAAAAATTCTGTGCTGGGCCCTGGAGAAAAGAAGTTGCTGAAACATTTGTATTATCTACCTAATCACCTAAGCAATCCCCCTTAGCTGCAAGACAAGGCTATGCTTTACTCAGAATCCACTACAAATTTCTATGTCTCCAAACCTGTAACACAG